CCGTATGTAGGGGTTTAGGGTTTAGGGTTCAGGGTTTAGGGTGTAGGGTTTAGGGTTTAGGGTTTAGGGTTTTAATGTTCTAGGGTTCTAGGGTTTAGGTTTCAGGGTTAAGGGTTTAGGGTTTAGGGTTCTAGGGTTTAGGGTTTAGGGGGTTATATAGGAGTTATATAGGAGTTTTATAGGGACAATGGAAAACATATTGGAAACTACTATTAAGGGTTTAGGGTTTAGGGCTATAGGATCCCCCTATGATGGAGAATCAAAGGGGAACATGGAAAATGAAATGGAAACTGTGGTAATATGGGGATTTACGGAACCTAATTTGAGTCACTGCATTGGCAAAACCCTACTATTTACCAATCTATACCCATTATGGCAACTTAATTTAAGTTCCTTAACGGCAAAACCCGTTATCCTGGAAGCTGGGTTTTCCTCCCTTTTTTCGATGGGAAAGGACACATGCCAATGTGAATTCTGGGGTTGGCGCTTTCTCCGTCATGTTATCTTTCTTTACTTCTTTTTGTTACTCATCATACTTCCACCTATGACCTGTAAGGGTCCATGGCGGCTCCGATCAGTCCTAGTAGTTTCCATGTTCTTTTCCATTATCCCTATCTAATCCCTAGATACCCCTATAAAACCCTACATAACCCTATATAACCCCTATATACCCCTATAAAACCCTACATAACCCTATATAACCACCCAACTGTTCCCTGCAGTGCGTCTTCAGAACGACTGGGGAAGGCAAGGCAACCTGATCTAGGGAAGAATGGAGAAGAAAATGGAAACTACGGGGTTATATAGGGAATAGTGGAAAAGAAAATGGAAACTACTGTAGTACATTGGGGTTATGCAGGAAAAATGGAAACTACTATAGTATAATATATTCAAGGTTCCTGGCCCCAAACAACATCCATCGCCAGGTGGCACACGCTGATGAAATAAGGTATCTACGCCCTTGAATATATTATACTATAGTAGTTTCCATTTTCTTTTCCATTACTCCTTATATAACCCCAATATACCCTCCATACAACCAACCCCCTATGATCCAAAACTACAAACTCCTCCCTGACACATCAAGCCCAATGCACCAAAGACTTCACTGACTGCTACGATGCAGGTTCCAAGCAACAAGTCGTGGTGGCGGCGATGGCGGCTGAGCTTCCACTGGGCTATCTGGGACTCCTGAGCGGAACGATGACCAAATGCAACCATGTCAAAAATGATGAGCAGATTGATGCTCATGATGACCAGACGAACAATACAGTCGTATACAGCATACCAGCAGTGGTAGAGAGGACTTAGAGTGGCGGCAGATCCGCGAGCGTGTTGTCTCAAGGCTTGAATCATCTGAGATGTCCTCTGAAGAAAGCAAGCAAACTAATGGTACGGTATGGGTAATGTTAGCAGCTGGCTTCTCAACCTCGATATACTGTAGTTTCCATTTTCTTTTCCATTATTCTGGGGCGCAGGCTGGAAGCAGTAGATCCCAGGCTGCTTTCGCTTGAGGTAGCCGCACTACCCACAGCCTTCGCTCTCGATGGCTCCGCCACTGATGCTGGAGCTTCCTCTGGAGATGACTTGTTGGTCGTGTTCGGCCCAGGCGTGCCAGAAGTGTTGTGCGCTTTTTGGCTGTCTTGTTGGCCTCGCAATGTTTCGTTAGTCACATTTGAGATGTGGGTCTTATTCTGCTTTGTGGTCCTGTGCGGTGACACATTTTTGTGCTGCAAGTTGCCAGCGTTGCCAGCACTCTTTGGAAGCACCGGCCCAGTCGCAGAAACCGTTTCAACCTCGATGGTCTCTTCATCCTCAGAAGAAGAGTTCGAAGTGTTCCCTGTCGCCGAAGTGTTCTGTGCAGAAGGAGACGAAGTGCTCGGTGTCAGCTCTCCTGGACCTTCTGAGCTCTCCTCGTTCTGTTCGTCGCTTCCCTCTTCCTCCTCTTCCCCTTCAACTTCGTGCCGAGATTTTTTGCTGTTTGAAGGTGCAGCAGGTGCAGTGCCCGTAATATCTGTGGGCTCTGCAAGTTGCTGCGACTCCTTGCTTGCCTCACCCTTCTGATCATGAGGAGCTTTACTACTTGCAGCCCCTGCTGCCGTGTGCTGTGCGCTGCCTT